GAGTGTCTGGAGAGTGAGGTTTGTTTGTTTATTTATTATTTATTTATTATTTTATTTTTTGAGAGTGAGGTTTTTAAAGGAAGAGAGCTTAAGATAGGTTGTTTGCTGAGGAATTAAAGCCAGAGACAGTCTTTAAAAACCAGAGCACGGGTTTTCAAAGTAATTTAAACAGTGCAATGAAGGACAACGCTTTAGGATGCTGTTTGATCCTTGCTGACTTTAGGATTACACCCGCCTTTCCTCTCGGGTCACACTTGCTTTAGTAGTTTATGGGGGAAAAAAAGTTTATGTGAAAGAAGATATGTGTGCTTATGGGACACCTTTTTTTCCCTGATTTTACCCTATTTACTGTTTAGACACACCCCCACCCACTGCCTGTGTCCATTTTTTAGAGTACTTTTAGGTTTACAGGAAAACAGCAAAAAGTACAGATTTCCCATAAGGCCCCCACCCCAAACTTCCTCCTACTAACATCTTGCATTAGTGTCTTATATGTATTACAAATGCTGAGCCAACGCAGGATTGTTACCTAAAGCCATTTATGTATAGTTTTATCCCTGTGCATTGCCTGGGCTTTGACACATGTAATGACAACGACCCACCATTATGGCATCATACAGAGTAGTTTCACTGCCATGAAAGTCCCCTCTGCTTTGCTTATTCATCCCTTCCCTCCCCTACTGACCTTTGGCAGCCTTTTTTTTTTTTTTTTTTACTGTGTGCATAGTATTTATAGTATTTTCCAGAATGTCCTACTGTTGGAGTCCTATAGTATGTAGCCATCCCAGACTGGCTTCTTTCATTGTGTAATACACATTTAAGGTTCCTCGTCTTTTCATGGCTTGACGCTCAACCGTTGAGCCATCCAGGCGTCCCAAGAGCTCACTTCCCTTTAGTGCTCGGTAATATGCCACTGTGTGGGATGCACCAGTTTATCCATTCACCTGGTAAGGACATCCTGGGTTGCTCCCAGTTTGGGGCAATGATGCAGAACACTGCTGCGAATATCTGTGTCCTGTTGCAGGCGTGGACCCAAGTTTTCAACCCCTTTGGGTAAATTCTGAGTGGTGTGATTGCTGGATGGGATCACATTTAGAACTTTTAGGGTGATTTGCAAAGATTTCTCTTTGGGTAGTGGTTTCAATCAAAACTTTTAAAGGTGTGATGTACATAAGGTACACTAATCTGAATAGATGGTTTGGACTTTTGTTATGTGTATATACATGAGATCAAGATATAGGAATGTGGGGGGATACCTGGGTGGCTCAGCAGTTGGGCATCCGCCTTTGGCCCAGGTTGTGATCCTGGGCTCCTGGGATCGAGTCCCACGACGGGCTCCCTGCATGGAGCCTGTTTATCCCTCTGCCTGCGTCTCAGCCTCTGTGTATCGCTCATGAATAAATAATCTTAAAAAAGATATGGGAGTGTGTCCAGGAGCCCTGTTTCTGTACCTTCCCAGGCACTGTCCCCTCAGCCATCCCCATAGATAACACTACTCTGATTTCTAGTACAATCCATTGGTCCTGCCAATCAGCCAGCTTCCACCCTGCAGCTTTTGAAAGCAGACTTTTTTTGGGGGTGGGGAGGGGCCATTAGTAGCAATTTGCTTTATATGGGTTTGTTTTGAACAGCACCTAATTTCATCATTGTTCAGGATAGCTCTGGAGCAGAGAGATTGGCATACTTTCTGGGTAAATATTTCCGACTGCCAGCAAGTGAATGAATAAGCATGGCTGCGTTCCAATAAAACTTTACTTACAGAAACAGGAAGTGGGCCAGATTTGGCTCTTAGGCCAGAGTTTACGAATCCAGTGTAGAACAGGGCTTTCCTTGTAAAATTTGGGTCTGGGCCGCGCTTTCCTCCAAGAGGGAAGATCTCAGTTGTGGGTCCCAGATCCATGAAAATGGATTTGAACTGAAACAGAAACCCTGCCAGACTCTCCCCACCCCCCCTTTTTAAAAAAGATTTTATTTATTTATTCATGAGAGACACAGAGAGAGGCAGAGGGAGAAGCAGGCTCCTTGCAGGGATCCCAATGTGGGACTCGATCCTGGGATCTCAGGATCACACCCTGAGCCAAAGGCAGATGCTCAACCACTGAGCCATCCAGGCACCCACAGATTTTCCCCACCTTCACCACCCTTGCATTAATCTCATTTTCTGTTCCCCTGTCTGTCCTCCCCTCCTCCTGTCAGCCTCCAGGCTCCTACCTGGCCTGCAGAGGGTGAGGGCTTTGCTATCAAGTGGGAAGCACTGCCTGTTAAAGTGGAGAAACGAAGAAGGTTCTTCGGTGATGTGGAGGGAAGGGGGGGATGTGGAGCGGTCAGGAGATGTGGGGGATCCCTGCAGAGGTGAAGGTCTGCCCCTGGCTGGTGAGAGAGAAAGTTGTGGTCAGGTGGGGAATTTCACAGCGGGGCTCCTTGGAGGTGGATCAGTTTCGAGTGGCTGAGGTAAGCTTGTCACGGTCCCTGAGCACGATCTGGGTTTCAGGCACTTTTTATGTGCCACCTTCACTTGATCTTTTAATAGTGACAAAGTGGCCACTGTTCCACTGTTGGGATGCCCGTTTTACAGGAGTGGAGACTGAGGTGTCCAGTGGGTGTGTGGCGCTGGTCTGAGGTTGGAGCTAGGATTTGAATGCTGGCAGCCTGGTACCTCTGTACTGGTTGCCTCTCGATGGGCCACCAGGTGGGTGCCTGGGAGGGTGGGGTTGCAAGCCAGTGGCATTGGGAGGTGGAGATGACTGTTGGTGTGCGTGTGCTCTGTGCCCATGGAGGTAGCAGAGAAAACCCTGGGGGACCCAGCAGGGAAGGGTGGACAGGTGTAAGCCATGACCTTTGCAACTCTCAAAACCAGGAAACTGGTCTGAGACCATGTAGGCGTTGGCGGCAGACACAGGCTGGGCCAACCGCGGAGGGGAACCGAAGGGAGGGCTTGGAGGGTGGCCCAGAGGACAGCCTGCATCAAATGGAAGGAAAGCAGTATTTGAGAGCAAAGTCAGCATCATTTTCTACTCTGGGCTTTGTCTGAGTAAGGACAGTAGCCATGGTGTTAGTACTTTCCATTACACATTAAGGACATCATTTAAGAACCCAACCAAGAACCTTCCAACAATGGGAATTTTTCTGCATTTCAAGAAACCACAGCCGAAAGTGGGTGGGCAGGGGATTTATTCATATGCATTAACTTCCAGGTTTTACCCTGGATCATGGGCCACATGGGTCTTTTATGTCTTTTAAGTCTATACTGTCCTACAATATACTGTTCGGCAATACAGGCCTGATTACAAGGCTTAACACGGTAAATATTTGCTGAGAATCTTAAATGCCAGGTGCTATTGAGGACATAAAATAATCTCGGACATGGCTTCTGACCTCAAAAAGTTTTCAGTTACTGCACGGGGGACTCTCTTATCTTCAGGGCAAAGAGGCAAGATTGTATTAAGACATTTAGTTAAAAGATCCTCAGGAAGATTTAAGGATTAAAGGGTATGAGAGAAGGGGCACCTGGGTGGCTTCAGTCGGTTGAACATCCAATTCTTGGTTTCAGCTCAGGTCTTGATCTCCAAGTAGTGGGATCAAGCGCCAAGTTGGGCTCCGTGCTCAATGTGGAGGAGTCTGCTTGAGATTCTCTCTCCCTCTGACCCTCCTCCCCACTGCATGTTCTCTTTCTCAAAAAAAAAAAAAAAAAGCAATAAAATGTAATAAACAAATACGAGAGACACCCAAGGTTCTAATCTTTGGGAACATTCCATATGTGGAGGTTGTGTGGGATCACGTCTGATTCTTCAGGGCCGGGTACATGTCCCAGGCTGGCTTGCACCCAGGCCGCCAGGAGAGGCCAGCATCTGGAAGGCACAAATGAGAAGCCTTGAGGTGGACAGCTAGGGTTTGGGCACTGCTCCTTCCTTTGGAACACCAGGAGTAAAATGCAGAAGTCACTATAAATCCTGCTTCTGAGGAAGTTCATGTTCCCTTGAGAGTCAGAAACTGCACAATTCCATATGAGCCCCCCGTTTGCTTACTTGGCATGGTCCTTCCTTGCGAGAACAAGCAGGTGCCTCCCTGACGCAACTCCGGCTCTGCTGGCTGTCTCTCTGACCACCCAGGTGGAGGCTCGTGGGCCAGCGTGAGACCCAGCCTGCTGTATTTCAACATTCTTAGCCGCCATCATTTAAAAACATTTTCCTGTCGCAACTCTCAATTTCTGGCTCCTTGTGAAACTAAAGGATCTGCCAGTACTGGGTGAGGAGGCCCTTCTGCCCCTTGCTCCCTAGCACCAGGTGGCGCTTTCACTGCCTCTCACCACCTGGCTTGCACTGTTGTCTTCTCGAGCTTTGTTGTTTCTACCTGTGCTCCACCGAGGTGGATTCCAAGGTGGGGGGGGGGGGGAAGGAATAATGCCATGTCTTTGGCCTGGTCCGCATCACCCACCATCCCCTGCCTGACCGCTGTGGGCATTTGTTCTCTCTGCACTGGATATGGGTGGGTGGTCTTCGTTCTTGAGCTAACTTTGAGTCTTTGGTCTTTCTAGACTTTTTTCCTTTAAAGCAATTGGTGTGGGGTGAGTCAGGATTTCCCTCTATCCAGAACACGTGTTCCTTGGTGACAGGAGACTGCACCCCGTGGGCTGCATGTGAACTGCTCAGTAACTGGTGGAACAGCCCAACCTTTACCTTTAGGGAACTGGTCCTTATCACTACCAGGTGGGAAGGAGGTGACCACTGTCCTGTTTCACTTCAAAGGTGGCTGTGTTTCGAAGAGGGCAAATGATATTTGGAATCAAATTGGGGGAAAGTACTGGATTCTTCGAGAGGGGAAAGGTTCTAGTATAATAATGAGTGGCTCAGAACTTGTGATTTGCTGACGTCCTCAGGGCTGCAGCCTGACTTTGGCTTGACAAGCACTGGGGAAAACGTGACAAGTCAGAACCCACCCAGTGAGTTTGGGGATTGCCCTCTTGGCCTTTGCAGTGAGGGGGCTTCTGGGTTCTTTCCTAGGCACCCGCTGGCCACCTTTTTCCATCTGTTTTTCCGAGTGAGTGCCATTGTCACGTATGTGTGCTGTGACTGGTTCAGCAGAAGCTTTGTGGGCTGCTTTGTCACCGTGCTCCTCCTCCTGTCCTTTGACTTCTGGTCTGTGAAGGTAAGGCTCCCCCGGCTCATGACACCATTGCTCCTGAAACACGAGGGCCATAGTTCAACGTCACTGACGTTACCAATGAGTGTGGCTGGTTTGGGCCAAGAGGTGCTTTTGCTTAAACAGCAGATCCATACTTAAGAGTAAGAACCAGTATCGCTTGAAATTAGAGGAAAAATACATTGTTTCAGAGTTGAAAAAAATGTCCAGTTCTCAACTGCAACTGTCACCAATATGTATCTCAAGAGGGTGGCAACTCCATAGGCTTTGCAGTTTTTTGTAAAACGTGTTGCAGGGCAGGGAAATCGCTTGTTAAGGTAAGCTTGGTTAAAAATTAGAAGCCTCCAGCTGGCTTTGAGAACCCACCACAGCTCAGACCCCTCTGCTCCTGCTCCCACTCCCCAGGCCAGTTCAACACCAACTGGAGACTTTTACTTTGTTCATCAGTGAAAAGACAATGACTCTTTTCCTATGGCGTGCTTAGAGTCCTTCTGTCCATTTCCCCCAGAACGTAACGGGAAGACTCATGGTGGGCCTTCGTTGGTGGAACCAGATCGATGAAGATGGGAAAAGCCACTGGATTTTTGAAGCCAGAAAGGTATTGTCCGTTAGGAGTTGAACCAAGGCAAAGGCTGTGGGAAGTCTGCACAGGTCCCTTGTGGGCTTTGTGCAGATCGGGTTCCCATGCAGTGCTGAAGCTACCGCTGCAGGCACGCTGCTGCCACCAGCGTGTGGCGGAAGTTCATGGACGAGAAGCCAAGAGGACCGCAGGTGACTTTGCAACCATTTTCACTCATTCTGAAAATGCAGTCTTCCTCCCAAACAGGCCTCTCCGAATCACATTGCTGCCACAGAGGCTGAAGCACGTATCTTCTGGCTCGGCCTCATCATCTGCCCGCTTATTTGGATTGTGTTCCTCTTTAGCACCTTATTCTCCCTGAAGCTCAAGTGGCTGGTAAGGCGACACCCTGACTTGGACAGTGCTTTGCCATGTGCACAGACCAGGATGGCAGAAGTGGGTTTTACTAGCTGTTGATTTGCGACAGCTTTGCTGAGCTTTCATAGACCCTACAATCCACCCATTCAGCACATGCAACGCAACAGGTTTCTAGTATATTCACAAGTGTGTACGGTCAGCACCACAGCCCATCCTAGGATATTATTGGCACTCCCAAAAGAAGCCCTGTACCCTCCTTCCAGCCATTACCACCTCCCCTGTGCCCCTCTTCCTCCATGCCTGGCACTCATCTTCCTGTCTCAACACTTACCTATTCCCAACATTTTCTGTAACTGTAGTTATGTAACGCGTTTGTACCCTTCTTCCACTTAACGTAGTCTATCTAAGGGTCATCTGTGTTCTAGCATTTATCAAGACTTCTTTCCTTTTTGTGGCTGCATAATATTCCATTGTAGGGCCATGCTGCATTTTTTTCTGTTCATCCACTGACGGACATTTGGTTGAACCTTTCAGACTCCTGTGAATAATGCTGAGAGAAGTTGTAAGCAAAACCATGTGATATCCTACTTTAGAACTCTTCCTAAAAGCAAGCCTCAGAGTTAAGTTTTTATAGGCTTTTTTTTTTTTTTAGCACGCTCCACAGCCAGCATGGAGCCCAATGCTGAGATCGTGAACTAAGCTGAGACCAAGAGTCTGACGCTCAACTACCAGCCACCCCTATTTTAATTATTCTATTTCATTGCTGTGATCTGGCTCCTTCGGTGAGAAAACATCCAGACAGAAGAGCAGTGTAATAAAAAGTGGGGGGCACTCTGGCGTTTGGTTGTTGGCCCAGCCATGCATCAGCTCTGAGACTTTTGTTTCTGTGGGTTTCAGTTTCTTCCCTATAAAATGGGATGATAATGGCACCGTCTTTTGTTGTTGCTAGATAAGGTGTCCATGATTTGTGAGTTCTCAAAAAACGTCTGGTTGTTACTAGGTACAGACCAGAGCCACTTCTGTGGTTCGAGAGGAACATTCCCATACATGCTCTTAGAAGAACTACTTTTGCTTTGTGAGCAGGCCCTTGTGATAGCTGGGATTTCTCTTCAAGCCGCTAACCTGTATGGTTACATCCTCTGTAAGATGGGAGGTGAGAGTGACCTCAGCAAAGTCACAGCCAGTTTTCTGTCCCAGACGGTATTCCAGACGGTGAGTTCCTGAAGTCTTACTCCTGGACCCCTGCACTCGATGTTTGAAGCGCAGGTGGCCTAGTGGCAAATGCAGTTTTAACTGTTTTCGTATCAAGTCGGCTGCCACAGTGTTCTGTGTATGTGTGCATGCACACGCATGTGCCCATGGAGGTGGGGCATAAAATTTCTACAACATAAAACTTACCACTTTAAACATACAGATCAATGGTGGTAAGTACGTTCGCACTGTCATGCAGCCATCACCACCATCCATCTCCAGAACTTTCTCATCTCCCCAAACTGAGGTTCTGTCCCCATGACACAGTAAGTCCCAGCCTCCCCTCCCACCATCTATTTGGCTCTCTGAACCTGACTCCTTTGGGAACTTCACAGAAGTCAAATCCTGCAGTACTGGTCCTTTTGTGACTGCCACTATTAGCTTTAAGTGATTTTAAAACTACAGGATTAAGTACCACACACACACCTAGCATATTTTAACCTAGCATATATTTCTAGAAGCATGAGATCTTTTAAATTTGACCAGCTCCTCTTAAAATGGTTTGACCCGTCTTAAAATTTGAACAGTGCTGCTTTCTGCCAAGACCTTGATTGAGCAATGAGCCCTGCAGGTTTTTGGTTATGTTGTGGGTTTGCTCTGGCCTTTGAATCAGCAGAATCAGGCCCCTCGTGTGTGGGGACAAAGCCACAGTGGACTTGTTTTCTTGCAGGCTGGCCCGGGTGACTTCCAGAAGCCTGGCCTGGAGGGGCTGGAGATTCACAAGCATTAGGTAGGAGGGGAGATTGATGTGGGAGCCAGCCAGGGTAGGGGGTCATCCCAGGGCTCCACGGCCTCCTCCCTTGGCTCACGTGGAAGGGGTGCAAACTTCACCCTGTGTGCAGGCACAAGGGACGGGGCAGGAATGGGGGGAAAGAACAACGGGATTTGCCCAACTCTCCACAGCTGCCCAGAGGGAGCTGGAACTTGGGAATCACCTCTTCCCTCATTGGTGCCAGTTCCTGCACATCTCCCGGCAACGAGGAGAATTCTAGAATTTACGTCACTCTCTTTTACGTTAAAAAAAAAACAAAACAAAACAAAACAAAAAACCAAAAAACCAAAATACCCCATAAATGGTCTTGGAGGACACTGGAAATTATTGGACATTGTACATATATTACTGCACGGGGCACAGACCCCCGTTCTGTTTACATGGGTGATTTATGGGCTTTTTGGGACTATTTTCACTTTTCCTCTCAATCTGAAGCAATGGCATTTGGACTGTTATTTAAAACCATGACTGGATTTTGCAATGAAGCCACACATCTATCCCTCTGGTTCTTTTTTAGGCTTCTCTTCTGAGCCTGCAGTGGCTGAAGCAAGAGGTTCTGTTCTTAAATAAGCTTCCAGCAGAGAAGAATTCCCTGACCAATAAGCCGTTGGTTTCCTGCCGGAAGTAGGCCTCAGGGGAGAGGCCTGAGACGTTTTTATTCTTAAGACAGCACGTTGGTAAAGAATGCCTTTATGTATGCTGACAGTGTATGAATATGACAATTAAAGCGTCTCTGATTAAATGACTTCACGCCCTACCAGCGTCTGGTCCCTTTCTGCCCATGTCCCCAGGCTGCTTGGGCCAGGCTGCGGGGTCAGCTCGTGTCCTGAACACTCTCATGTTTCAGGAACTGATGAGGTGCCCTTCTTCTGGCAGATGGCGACCACAGAACTCCTGGATTCCTGGAACATGAGACAACAGAGAAGCGGTGATGCGGTGCCCCTCTCTCAGGCAGCCCTGCCTGTGCTGGTGAGGGCTGAAGCCCTGCACAGCTGAACTCCCAAAACAGTCCTGTTTCTGCTGATGCTGACTCCTCAAAAGTGCTTGTCCACGGTCCTAAATGTGTGGCTGGAGATCTTACTTGGGCCCATTCCACAGATCAAGAGACTGGGAATGCCATTCCCTGCCCTGGATGCCCTTCTCCTAGGTAAAAGGAACGCCGTGACAGCTTTAACGACTGCCCCTGCCCAAGCTGCCTTAACGTCCAGGCCTCCGCTGGCCACTCACCAGCACACTCAGGCTGCACATGTGCTTTCTCCTCTCAAAAGCTTTCTCATGGACACCTGGCTTCCTGGGCTAAGGGGTCATCCCAGCCCTCCCGAGCCCTACTGTCCCCACTCGAGGCTGAGTGGCAGTGACCCTAATGACCCATAAATGGCTCTAAATGGGATGTTCACACCCAGCAGGGCACAGGACTCAGGCACACACGTACTTTGAATGATACTTCTGTAGGCTAAAGTGGCTGGGGAATCCGGAGCGTCAATCAGAAAAGACTGTCCTTTATCGCAACTCTTACCTTGAAGAGAAATGAAAAGAAAAAAATCCATGAAGAAAACTGTGGCAAGGTGAACTGGAGGCCCTCTCGGGCCTGTGATGTTAAGACCCTGAGCCCACTTCACTTGCAGTGGAGAGTATAGCTGAGGAAACACACGAGATGAACGCGAGCATAAGTACACGTGTGGAACGTGTGTATTTACACTCCTCTGGGCTGCCCAGGCAGGTGCTCCTTGCCCCTCCCCTCCACTGCTCTGCCCACCCCCAAACCTGGGCAGGCCCCCTGCGCCTGCTCGGCACAACTGCAGAAGCAAGTCAGTGGTGCTGCTCCCCCACCTCAGCTGGGCCCTGCAAGGCCAGTGTCCCAGGAGCCAGGGAAACTGAGGGAGGAAAGGGGCCAGGAGGAGGGGCTGGCAGAGCTGGAATCCAAATGAGCCCAGGTCACCCTGGGAATGTGCTGGACCAGGTCCGGAAGTCCTAGGTCCCAGAAGAGTCACATTCTAGCCACTGGGTACAATTTTCAGTGTTCAAGTCTTCCTTGCCCCGGGGGACCCTCCCCATTTTAATAAAACTTCCATCCCTCTCACTGTGCTCCATGACCAGGCATTACTGTCCAAAGAGCTGGTTTCTGCAGTTTTCTGGGTCTCCTCTCCTGTCATCTTTGCCACTCCCTGGGCAGGGGGCACGGTTACCACCCCCTCTTACAGATGAGGCCATCAGGGCTTGGAGCCTCCAGCTAGCAGTGGAAGAGCCGGGCTCTGAGGCTGGACATCGACCCCAGAGCCTCAGCCGGGTGGGTCCACAGGCTTAGCACAGTGCCAGAGATATGGCACCTCCTTCTACCAGGGATCCCAGCACAGGCTGAAATGTGTGCCCTCACGCCGTCCTATTCCCAGGGATCTGCCTTTGCTCTCGCTGGACAAAAATAACTCTGGCGGGGAGGGAGGTGGCCTGTCACAGTGACCTCTCAGTTTTGTCCTGCTTTCCAGTACAGGACAGCGCCAACCACCCTTCTCTGATGCCCACGGGCCTTGTGCTTTCAGCTAGAAGGGAGGCTAGGGCCACGTAACTTGTCACACAGGCCCACTCCCCAGAAAGTGCTTCATCCTCTGAACTTGGGACTGAGTAGCAGCTGCCCTCAGGGCCTCTGCTGTGCTACTGGCTCCTGGCAAGTACTCAGAACTTCACTTCTTTGTGAAAAGTAGCCCTAAAAAGAAAAGCCCGGCAGAAGCTGGAGCCAGGCAGGAGGGCAGATGCCTCCCTTCCCCTCACCTTCTCGGGGGTTGGGTCCTGCATTGGGGTCTGAGGCTCTCCCAGCCTCAGCAGACAGCCCGTTCTCTGCCAGGCATCCCCCTAATCTCCTGCCCACCACTCCTGTCCTCGGGGCCTGCACTCAGGTGGTGGCACATGCTGGGGTTGACAGCAGTGAGTGAGCCAGGACGGGCAGTGACCCGCCTCAAGTCACTCATACTCATCCCTACATCCACCTGCCTCGAAGGGCCTCTGAACAGGAGACACTCTTAGACCTGGAGGGTTAATTAAGGTGGGGAAACTTGGCACCACGTCTGGTCAGTGCAAACAGATTCATCTTCCTGGGTGTTTGCATACTCGCTAAAGCAGCAGCTGGAGTTTTCCATGTTTCGTGGGGGAAAACACAGAGCAAAATGGTGTTTCAGGGCCAGAGAATACGCGACGAAGGTTCTCCAGATATGCACTTAGGTGCCAGGCTTCTCAGAGCAGCCGTCAGTCCCTGAGCAGCCCCTCAAGGCTGCGCCCTCCCACCCCACCCTTGGCTCCTCCGCTCTGCACACCCCAAGCAATCTCGCCTGAATAGGCACGTCCCACAATGTCCCTGAGCCTGCTAACCAATCAAAGGCTCCTCTAGACCCAACATGCAAGGGAACCTGCTCTCCTCAACAACACTGCCCCCCCGCCAACGGTCACAGCTTCTGAGGGCTGTCCCCATCTTCTAGAGCACGCAGACGTCTGCCATCTTTCTCCCCAAGCATCAAATCGTGTCCCTTCCCACTGCTGTGTGTCTCATCTCCAGGTCTGGGCAAGCCCTAATCTCCTCCCCACACTCCCCTACAGGGATGCCTGAAGGCCTCCCTCTCAGTCTCAGGTTCCTCATTTCCTCACCCTGAAGGCCCAGCTCTCGGGCCTGGCTGCAGAGCCGTCCACATCTGGGTTCCAGCCTGCCTTCCTGCCTTCTCCCCGGGCTTCCCTTGGCCCAGGCCCCTCTGCTGACGCAACCGCTCTACCACTTCCTCACGTCACAGGCTCAGCTAACTTAAGCAAGTTTGACTCTACCTCACGGAAACAAACATTTGGAGGCAAGTATAATTTGAAGAATGTGAGTGGCCCTCCCGATCATGGTGCTCAGCAAGCTGACACTCGAGTGAGTGCAGGATGGGGATGGGGTCCACCATCCCACCCCCTCCGTCAGTCTTGCTGCCGCTCATGGAAGGGACCCAGAGGACTCTGGGATGAAAAGGGTGAAACATTTTTCATGCACCGGGCCCCTGTAGGCAGGCCAACGCCCTCATCTAATGCCGAGAGACGGGGCCGTCCACGCTGTACTGGACCTCCCAGGAGGCAGGCTGGTCTTCCTAAGGGGTTTTCAAGGCTAATTCTGATTCATGCCTTTCACCTCAGAACCTAATTCCTGTCTGAGACAGGACCCCAGCACACACCCATGGCATTTCCCTGTCCTGTCCTCTCTACTTGGTGGATTCCTTTTCTGGGGCCTCCCAGCACCTCCCTGACCAGTCCTCACCCCACCCTCCACGCCTCACCCAACCACACCCTTCATATGCAGTCTGCTCACTCCCACGGTGACATGCCTGTGTCCCTAGGCCAGAGCTGAGCTCCTGAGGGTGGGCTCTGCGTCTGCTGCCCCACTGCCTGCCTAGTCATGCCCGTGCGGAGTGAGCAGGGTGTAAAGGCCCCATCTGGCAATGGAGGGTCAGGATGGCATTTAGACTCACCCACCTATGTGTGGATCCAGAGGCACTTTTCCGAGGAGCGGGATCTTCAGATTCTGGCACATGACTTCTGCACCCCCTGTCGTTGGTGGGAATATCTGAGATTCCTTCTGTGAGGTAAGTTAAAAAGGGAAGAATTAGGATTTTGTTTCAGAATCATTAAAAATGGACATTTTAAAACAACTTAAAAAAAATGGCTGTCTGAATGTGAAACATTAACCACTAGAAGAATTCTCATTAAATCAGCAATAGAGATTGTGATTCTACTTTCCAAAGTGACAAGGAAAAGCATAAACCATGTCACAGAGAACCCTCCCCAGGCTTTCCTCCTCCTCAGAAGGGACTGCTTAGCCGAGCCATGGGCCGATGCGCCCCCACCTTGCACTTGGGGCAGATGAAGCCACTCATGTTCTCCACCACTCCGATGATGGGCAGTTTCACCTTGTGGCAGAAGTTGATTTCTTTCCGGACATCTTGGAGGGATACCTCCTATCAAGGTTCAAAACACCATTTCAAAGTCAAAGCATAAGAAAAAAGTTGGCGTGCTTGCAGGGATGGTTGGTGCAATGTAGTGGGTTGACCACCATGAAACCTTACAGAGTATTCAGTAAGTATCTCGTTAGTGTCAACCATGCACTAAGCCCTATGCTAGCTGCTATTCCCCACCAAACCTCAAAAGGATAAATGTGAACAGCCAAATATCAACAGAAAACAAATGCACAAAAAAGGACCTTTTATGATATCCTCATGTTCTATTTTTCTCATTGATATACTACACCAAACCAAACTGCACTATTTTCTAGGTCAGGGGAACAGCAAAGTGTGGCCTGTGAGCCAGTCTCAATGTCTGGCTTTTGTTTTTTTTAAGATTTATTCAAGAGAGAAAAAGGGCGCGGGATGGGGGGAGGGAAAGAATCTCAAGCAGACTCTACACCCAGCATGGAAACGGACGTGGGGCTTGATCTCACCACCTGAACCAAAACCTAGAGTTGGACACTTAACTGAGCCGCTCAGGCATCCCTGTTTTTCTAAATAAACTGGACACAGCCACATACGTTCCTCTACATATTATAACTGGCTGCCTTCATCCTACAACGGTACAAATGAGTGGCTGTGACAGGCCGTTTGGTCCACAAATATTTACTATCCGGTCCTTTATAGAAAAAGTTTGCTAACCTCTGATCTAGATTATGAGCACAAACAACTTTATAGACAAGAAGAAAATGAGGAATAGTCTAGTTAGATCAAATTCACTTCTGAACTCTAAAAGCTCCTTTTACAGTGATACGTTGAGTGAGACATCCAGGCTTGGCACCCTCTCTATGCCCCCCAGGTCACGGTATCACGGACACATTATTCCTTGCTTGCTGTTGTCAAGTGTGGCCGCACTCTACCCTCTGTGGCTCTAACGCTTCTGAGTTCCCAAAGGTTCAAGGCTTCGAGTCACCTATTTCTCCCCAGGCACACATTTGGTTCTTCATCCCTATGAGATTGACGTACAGACAAAAAGGCATTTAACTAGAAAGTAAACCAGTATAAACTGGTATTAGTCTCCGTGCTCTTAGCACCACTGTGGTTCTCTCCTTGGTGGCCCCGCTTTGTCAAAAAGGACCCCCAAAAGAGTCACCTGCTTGTGCAAGTGGCAGTGAAGGGCTCTGAGAAGGTGGGTGACACACCTTCTCGTGTTAAGTCACACTCTCCATAAACGTTCCACACAAAGGGTGGAGCGTCCTCCCATGGTTTCCTGGAGAGGGGCCAGCATCTGCTCCATCTGTTTCCCTCTTCTTGAGCCCAAGGGGGCACCACACCCTCTTTTCACAGTAAATGTGGCTTTGGACAGGCCATCTTGAGAAATGGTTTTATGTTCACAGCAAAACAGGGCAGAAAGAGTTCCCATATGTCCCTTGCCCCTACACCCATGAAACGTCCCCACTATCAACATCCCACAGCACAGTGCTCTATTCCAAAAAGATTTTTCCTTTCGGGTAACTCGTCTGGGACTCACCCTTGACAGTTCTGCTGGTCTAGAGTGGGGCCCAAACACTGTAAAAATTCAAAAGCATTATCAAAGACAAATCCATCTGCCACCCCCTGGGCCAGGTGTTCCCTACCTCTGGCCACTTATGCGGCATCCTGCTCTTCCACGTGCCTCCAAGACACCCTCCACGGGGCACCAGACATCTCACACATGCATCCTGTCCTACCACTCCCCGACCCAGGCATCTTCACATGGCCCGTTGGGGCCTGTCACACCGCTGTTGGAGCACTGCACGTGTGCAGTGTCCAGTACCCACATTCCTCAGTGAATCATACAGGCCATGAGGGAAGACAGGCCCATTTCCTCCCTGATGCCTGGCACAGAGCCACAGATAGGTGCTGCTCTGTGAAGGTTTGGTGAAGCATGAGGAGATACTGATTCACAGACTGAGGCCCTCTTTGGTGTGCTTCCTTAGGATTGGAGAAGAGGATCATGACAAAAGGTACAGCTGAGCAGAATAATCTGCTGGTATCTTGGCAACAATAATAAAGCTCATCGCAGACCAGACTGCGTCTATTCACTGCTGGATTCACTCAGGATGACACTACCGCGCACTCTCAGTTTGGGTTCAGTATGGCCTCTATGGGCCTGGAACAAGAGCTGGGCGTTGCTAAAGCAGCAGCAAGGACCACAGCAGCTTATCTAGAATACACCCCAGGGTGGCTCTACAGAAAACCAGGTGGTCTTAGGAGTTGGTGGGAAAGGTGCACGGAAGCAGCACTGCGGGTTATCAGGACTGAAGCATGAGCACAGCAGAGGTGACAGGACCACGAGGGACAAGCTGAACTGAATGGCACCAGTGGTCTTGCCGGCTGAGTGAAGGAAATGTGAAGGGCAATTCTGAGCCACTACTGCTTTGATCTGTGCACATAATCGTGGAATGCCTACTTGTTAACAGCAAATACCAAAGATAAAACTTCTAACAAAGTTTTTGTAGATCCACCCTGAGGGCTGTTGGAGCATGTGTTCTGGGGAGCTGCTTCCATAAAGGGTCTCAAAGCCATATAAGAAAGAAGCTCCCAACACAGCACAGTTCAAAGCCAGCTCTACTGGGGCACTCACTCACCTGGGGAGTGGTGATGATCACCGCCCCATCGATGTGTGTCGACGACAGGTACTGGACAGCCGAGAGATGTTCATCCGATGTCCCAGGAGGAGTGTCCACAATGAGGTAGTCAACCTCTCCCCAGTCCACGTCACGAAGGAACTGCTTGATCATGCCTAAGGAGAGAGAGGGCGAGCCAGTGATGCCTTTTCTCTCTTTTCCATACTTACAACTCTACAGAGGCACTTTATGATCTTCACGTACACTTGACCTCCCTGGTTGTCATGACTGGGGTGCAGGGAACTACTGGCATCCAGTGGGTAGAAGCCTGGGGTGCTCTAACCTTCTGCAAGTGTAGACCACAGTCCACCCCTCCCCTAACAAAGAATTATCTGGCCCCAAATGGCAACACTGCAAAGGCTGAGAAGCCCTGCCTTACAAATGACACTTCTGCATTGTTATTTTAAGCTCTGGGCCCAATCAACCTGCTAGGATTTCACCTCACTCACATCTTGGACCTAAATAAGCTACTATAAAACTAGAGTAAAAACAATTCCAATGTCACATAGGCTTTAAAGACAGAGAAACTCAAGTAGACATTATAAATTATAAAACAAAAACGGGTATCTCTACTAGCTCTCTTCAACCAGCAAAGACAGAGGTAACCAGATGCTTAACCATGATCCTCTGCAAAGCCCAGCAGAGGACTGCTGCCATGCTGATGGGACAGGCTGCAAAGGAAACCTAAAGTAGTTCTGCTCTTGGAAGCTCATGCTCACGGAGAGAAAGCAGGGTGGCAAACCATTTTTCTTTGGTCCCCTCCAGATAACGGCATCATCAGGACTGCTGAGCAAGAAACCAACCGACATCACCCCCAGATTGTCTTCCACGAACTGGAGAGGATGAAGCAAAGAACACTTAAAACCACAGCACAGGTCACTTCCTTGTCGTTTATCGGAGCTGAAAGCATTTTGAGAACAAAATGATCATGTGATCTTGGGTCTATTCATTCTTTGAATTCACAAATCATTTTGGGAGAGGAAGGGTTATCATACAGGGGGACCTGAACGAAGCCCCCTGCGGCCGTGTGCTAGAGTGCAGAAACCACAGCAGAAGTATGTCCTTAGCTACCCTCGCCTGGGCTGGCAAACCGCAGCCTCCAGGGCCAAATATGGCCCACCTTCTGGCCTTGTCCATCAAGTTTTCTTGAAATACATGGTCATTAGCTTGCACATTATGACCCTCATGCTACAATGCTGGACAGTGTATGGCCCACAGACTGAAAATATGTACTGTCTGACCCTTTACAGACACAGTGTGCCAATCCCTGACATTACCTGTGCTCCCTATGTCTACAAGGGCACGCTGATTGTTACTTGTTAACTGATAGACAGCTGGGTTGAGGAAAGTGCTGCCCGCCCAAACCACAGCTGTTCTGAACACACGATCCGGAATACACTACCCGGCAAATAAGACAAAGGTGTAAAAACTCACCACTGGAGACCAGCCTGAGCCGCTCTGGTGAACCTGCATGAACATAAACATCGACGTTCACCGGTAAGAAATTGTGCACTCTGGGCATACTACAGTTCGTTGTCTTTAAAGCTCCCACTCAATTCTCATTAGAGAGTGAGCAGCTGCGGGAGAGGCAGCGGGTAACAGAAGCTGTACCCCCCCACACAACACACATGTTGGAATGTTCTGAAACTCTGCTTAGAGATCTAGTCAGGAGGTAAACTTGGCTGAATTCAAACATAATTTGGGGTCTAAGGTATTTTACAAATAGGACAAGAACCAGTTGGGGGTGGCTGGGGCAACGCAGGTGGTTGTGGTGCGGGCAAGGCTGCCTCTGCCAAATCCAGGAGTGAAGGTGTTTGCTTCAGCGAGATGGGCAGCCCAGGACCTGCCCCGCCTGTGGCCTGAGCGTCAGTGCCTCAGTGCTGGTCTGCTGCACCCCTGGGAGGAGGGGGCCAACAGGAAGGGTGGGGCCACTTCAAGATTCACACTCTCCTTCAGTAGGTATTCTTTAACAGCCGGCGTTCAACTCTGCACTGCCTCTTCATCGTGAAACTAGAACTGACTCAACTTCCAACTACACATGAGTCTCAGCAGTTGGGCTTTAGGGCAACCTAGGAGCCAAGACAGAAGGCCCATTTTCTTGAAGAAGTCTTACCTCTCTAACAGCTCTAGGGAGATCTAATTCATATACCACACCAGTCTCCTGCTCAAAGTGTACGATTCAGTGGCTTTCAGAATATTCCCAGAGCTGGGCACCAGTCAGTTATTTTCATCACTCCGAGACGATACCCTACACCCTGTGACGGTCACATCCAATCCTTCACCCCCACGTGCATGCCACCTCAATCCTAGGTGACCCCCATCTCCTCTCTGCCTCCGCAGATGTGCCTGTTCTGGACACTTCACAGAAATGCAACCCTGTAATACATTATCTTGGGTGACTGGCTTTAAGGTCTTTTTTAATTTTTGTGTCCTTTTTAAATTTCAGTACAGTTAACATGCAACATTGTTATCAGTTTTGGGGGGTACCATATAATGATTCAACAATTCCATACATTGAGTCCCTGCTCATCACCCAAGGTGTACTCTTCATTCTCTGCACCTAGTTCACCCAGGTCTTAATTTTAAAAAAAGGGGTGCCTGAGTGGCTCAGTCAGTTAAGCGCCTGCCTTAGGCTTAGGTCATAATCCTGGGGTCCTAAGCCCTATGTTGGTCTCTCTGCTCAGCGAGGAGCCTGCTTCTCCCTCTCTTTCCTGCTCGTGCTCTATCTCTGGCCCTCTCTCTCTAATATTTTAAAAATAAAAATAAAAAATAAAAACAACCATCACTCTTCATTCCTATTTAAAACTCATTCTCCATGGTGACAGGCTTAAAAGAGGAATAAACGAAATGACCCGCAGTGTAGAAGAAAATAGTGGGACTTGTTTTATCTCACCATTCAACACCATAGTGAAAATATCAGTGTTTATCAAACACTCATGTACCGGTACAGTCAGTGCTAGATGTATATAACTCGTAAGTAAACACACAGCCATACTGTGGGTGAGTGCGCTACAAAGTGTTACTGATGGGCACATGGGCACAGACGTTGGACAGTGCAGCTCTGCCTCCACCCTGGATGGAATCACCCCTTTCCAGCACCCTCGGCAGCCTAGCCCAAACCCTGAGCAGAGTCCACAGGCCTGGCCTGTGTGCCTCAGGCCACTGTCCAGCTACCCTCCCTTTGTCCCCTCTGCCACTGGTCATCCTGCTGCAGAGACTCACGCCTCAGGACTCCTGCATTTGCTCCCTTGGCCCATAAGGCTCTTCGCTAGCTCTCCATAGAGGGGTGCCCTTGACCACACCCTTGCTCATCCCGTCCCCTTACCCAGCTTTCATTTTCTACTATCTATCAGCTGCCTCTTCCCATCAGGGCTGGGGACTTTATTTGTCTTGCTCACCACTGTATCCTAGCACCCAACAGTCACATAAAGAATGAACCCATCCGACATCCTGAAACATCTAAGCACCTCCCTACCCCCTGCCCAGCCCCATTTCAGTGCACTGCCTTTAAGAGGGACCCTTTCTGGGACTGCTCCCTGCAACCCAGGAGGGAGTGACCAGTACCTGCATGGACTGCGGTGGTGCCACAGCCTGTCCCCCGCCCCACATCACTCTCCCACCTCATAGTCTCAGTTCCCAGGGGTGACAACAAGGGCAAAAACATTCCCTTGTTTCCAGGGTACAGAACCAAGCACAGACTGGTCTGGCTTTCCCAGCAGTATGAAGTCTCTGTGTCCTACTTCTGCAATTTGTTTGCTGTTTCCCTTCCCCTCTAAGAAGGCACTGAAACTAATGCTTCTCAAGTGGTGCGGGTGAACTTTACATATGGTTCCAAACCCCAAAGCTCACAGTTGTTGCTGAGGCCGGCAGGCTAGGAACACCGAGCTGCTCTTAGCATGGCCGCCTAAAAACACATGGCTATGCTGACCCCTTGGTTTGGGATTAGCAGTTCGGTGCTATGGTTTGCTGTGAGGATACTTTCCTGAGGTTCGTACTATAGTTATTACCTGTTCTCCTTCCAAGCCCATTATCTTGGGAATTGATGGCCCACATATATCAATGTCCAGAAGAGCAACCTGGGAAACAAGAAGAGACCAAAGCAGTGATGCAACAGAATATACCATGTTCCAGATGTGCACAACTGGGAGGGGGAAAGGGTCTGAGTTTGAAAGGAGGAAGGGGAAATGGAAAGGAATCTCGGGGGAGTTCCAACTTTCATCTTCCAGGCCACAGACACACAGTCTAGAACCCGTATAGAGAGCTTGGCAAAGCACATCCACACATCACTGACTTCCACACCCATCCCCCAAGTCTGGCGCCTAACTCCAGGGCGATCTTCTGGGCCCAGTATCAGGCCCAAGCACCATACACTCAGCATTTACCACATGCCTAAGGAGTGAGTATCATTATCCCTGCTTTACAGAAGAGGACATGGAGGTCCAGAGAGGCCCAGTGACTTGCTCAGTAAGCTAGCAGTAGAGCTACGACTAACCTGAGGTCTGGTGATTCCCAACACTGGGGCCCTTTCTGCTACCCCAGGGGGCCTGGAGAGGAGGGCCAGAGTAGAACCTCATGCTGAGCTCTGACCGAGCCCCACTGTCTTGTGATCCTGAAGGTGAAGGATGGCTTAACCTCAACTTCTAAAATAAAACTGAAAATAAGAAGGAAGTCTAGAAAAGCTCTTTGCTAGTGAATATGCAACCTCGGAAGACTTTCACCGCAGACACGCTGTTTTCTGGGTGTGAGAAACGAGAAGATCTGAGACAGTCTGAACAGCAGAGTTAATATTCATCTTGAAAGCTCAAATATCAAGCATCTAAAGTACAACACCACTGGGTAACTTTTTTAACTTGCCCTAAATTAGTTTCTTTGCTCCCAGCAAAGCCCCACCTCCGCTTCTTCACTCTGTACTGTAATCAGGAAGACTCTTCATTCTCCTATCAGCCGCTTGCCTCCCCTGCCCTCTGCTGGACCAATTGAAGAAGCAACAGAGCGATGCTTGGGCTGACCACCTGCCTGCCTTCACCTACAAAGAAGGACCAAGTGCATTAATGACTGCAGACATTCTACCTCAGAGCCTCCAGACTTAGGAAACCACACCCTCACCGCGACCCTAACAGACTGAACGGGACTCCCAGTTTCTAGCCACTCAGTCTCTGCCCTTGCTTTCAGGAACAATTTAACATTTCAAGGAACTATGCTCCCCACAACCAAGTAGGTGAATATGGAGTGGAAGGATGTGAGGATGCGGAAACAAATCACAGGCATTCACTACTGGGGTGGTACTCAAAGAAGCTGTGACATGTCCCCGCTATGCAGACCTCCGAGGGGCCCCGTGTCCTGTCTTTTGCGGACTTCCTGCTGAACCTGTCACTACCCTAAATCTATCCAATGGATTCCCTTTCTGCTCAGGCCAGAGAACCTGAGCAGCGAGCAAAGTGCCTGGGTAAATCTTAACCAGGGCCTCTGTGGAAGGTGCTAGAAACCTGATGAGACAAACAGGTTTTGCCACAGCTCTCTTCCAGCCACAGACTGGTGGAGCAGAGTGCTGTCGGGATCCAGACCTTTCCCATACTCAGCACCCCCAAACATCCCCTTAAGAAGAGGTCATGGAAGGTGGGCTCTAGTCCTGATTCTTGGCACTCAAATGGCTGTGTCACCTCCTACAAAATGTTTTTGTTGGAGCTTCTGATCTGTGAAACAAGTGTGTAAATCATCAGGCCCCTTCCAGCTCCAAAGTCTACAAGCCACAGGAGCCTCAAACACTCCAGCCCGGAAGCCCCAAGGTGGACCTGTTAATGCTATAGTCTTTGGTGTCCCTCAGCTCGGGTACAACCACCAAGGCTCCTCTTGCTCCCTTCACCACAACTCACACATCCCTGGCTGGCCTGTGATTAGTCGGGGGGGGGGGGGGGATGGTTCCCAATTCTGCTTCCTCTTGGCTCATGGGCCTTTGCTATAAGCCACTGGACGCCTGTCTGCCTTGAACACTAACATAGAACAGTCCTGCTGAGAGGGATGAGCTTCCACCAGACAGAAAAGGGATTGGGTGTTTCCCCTCTAAATTTAGGGAAGGGAGGAATGTGTGCTGAGATTAATCAACCAGGCAGACGGAGTCTACGATCTGTCAACATCCCGCACCCTCTGGATACAGCGGCATTCTCAGTCATGAGTAGGCCTTGTGGGGAAATACACTTTCCTAAGTACAGATTTTTTTTTTTGGTAAACTATTGTTGCATAAAGAAAACCATCTTACTTTGCCATATTTTCACACTGGATGGAGCATTTTCCGTTAGTTGCAAAGTCCGGGCAAACTACTTCAGAGCAGAATTACACAGAAGTACCATAATATGCAAAAAATTCTCTATTTCCAAGTACGTACTTGTATCTGGCCTGGTTAAAGCCCATCTTCAGAGAGTTAAGATACAAAACAGATGAACATGGGAGAAGGGAGGGAAAAATAAGATGACATCAGAGATGGAGACAAACCATAAGAGACTCATAACTCTAAGAAAGAAACTGAGGGCTGCTGGAGGGGAAGCGGGTGGGGGGGATGGACTAAGTGGGTGATGGGCATGTAAGGCACTTCATGTAATGAGCACTATTAACAATGAATCAAAAAAAAACAAAAACAAAAAAAACCCAATGAATCAGGGGATCCCTGGGTGGCGCAGCGGTTTAGCGCCTGCCTTTGGCCCAGGGCGCGATCCTGGAGACCCGGGATCGAATCCCACATTGGGCTCCCGGTGCATGGAGCCTGCTTCTCCCTCTATGTCTCTGCCTCTCTCTCTCTCTCTCTGTGACTATCATAAAACAAAACAAACAAAAAAATGAATCACTAAATTCTACCCTGAAACTAATATTACACCTTGTTAATCATCTGATTTTAAATTAAAAAAATTATTGTGTGCGTACGTACACACACATGCCTGATAGCTTCTAAAAGCAAAGAGCATTCTGGATGATACGGATACTCTCTTAGAAATAATCAGTTTTTGGCCAACCAATTGGCCAATCAAATTTGATCCTCAGATGGCAGGAGATTGTTGATTAACAGAAGAATAAATCAACAAGTGGATTCTGAACCTACTCAGCACTGTTATTTGGTGGGGGTAGGCTACAAACTTGGTGCCAAAGCAGAAATCATCAGTGCCTTTCCCCCACATTCCAGGCAGTGGATAAAGTAATACTGATTGCCGTCATGGACATTTACTGTGTGTTATCTCACTTGCTCCGGACTCTCATTTTACAAGGAAAACCGAGGCAGAGAGCCTGGTAACCTGCCCAAGGTCAGAGAGGTGGCGTGGGCAAAGCGGGATGTGAACCTGGGCAGACTGCAGAGCCTGTACTCCTGGCCACCATGCTCTACCTTGCCCACCACCTTGCCCCAAATGCTCAGAGTTCTGACTTGCCCCTCTGCTCCAAAGTACTGAGGCCCTGCTTCTTCTACCTCCCTGACTCTGCCCTCATTTGTTCCCTGATCTGGATCCTCATGGCTGCTCACGGAGAGGAGAACACCAATTCCCATCCGGCTTCCTGTACCCTCCGATGATACCCAAATCACACACTCGGCTGACTATCCTTGCAATGCTCCTAAAGCAACACTCAAACCCTGCCTCTTTGCTTGCCAAATGTCCTAGCAGGTCATTCAAAGCCTCCCCTGGTCTGGCTCAGCCTCGTCCTCAGCCCTCTTCACTGGAGGAACCACATACACATACCCCATCGGTCCCCCTCACAGTCCAGGCACCTCCTTTCCAAACCCAGTCATCTCTCCCTGGTCCCACATCCCTAGAGCACATCTTGGGATGGTGGAGGCCAGATTCCAGAGAAGCCCACCTCAGCGACTGGCAGGCCAGCACAAACAGCTCCACCATTAGAAAATGATCAGAACTGGGCAGCCCGGGTGGCTCAGCAGTTTAGCACCGCCTTCAGCCCAGGGCCTGATCTTGGAGACCCGGGATCGAGTCCCACATCGGGCTCCCTGCATAGGGCCTGCTTCTCCCTCTGCCTGTGTCTCTGCCTCTGCCCCCCTCCTCTCTCTGTTCTCTCATGAATAAATAAAATAGAAAGAAAGAAAGAAAGAAAGAAAGAAAGAAAGAAAGAAAGAAAGAAAGAAAGAAAGAAAGAAAGAAAGAAAGAAAGAAAGAAGAAAGAAAGAAGAAAGAAAGAAGAAAGAAGAAAGAAAGAAAGAAAGAAGAAAGAAAGAAAGAAAGAAAGAAAGAAGAAAGAAAGAAAGAAAGAAAGAAGAAGGAAAGAAAGGAAAGAAAGAAAAGAAAATGATTGGAACAGAAAGGAGGAATAAGGCAGAATGGAGAGCCTGGGTAAGTGCGAGGAGCACTGAGTTCACCAAGTCCAGCCTCCTCACTCCCGAGAAGGCCAGGCTGGCCCAGACTTTCAGTCTTCCTCCAAAGACGCACTCTCCCAGCAAGCACCAGTGCTCCTGGAGCCAATCGCAGCCTGCTACCTGTTTTTGTACAGCCCACAAGGTAAGAACAGTTATTACACTTTTAGGAGGCTGGGGATGGGGGTGGAATTAAAAAAACTATTTCATGACATAAACATATGAAATCCAAGTATCAGTGACAATGAAATTGTGTTAAAACACAGCCAAGTTTGTTTACAGATGGTCTATGGCTGCTTTTGTGTGTCAGGGCAGGACTGGACAGGTGCTATAGGAACCATATGGCCCACAAAACCTAAAATACTCACCATCTGACTCTTTACACAACAAGTTTGCCCACCCCTCAAGCAAACTCTAATTTCTTAATCCAGTGATTTGAAAACTGTATTCCTGGAGTCCTTGGGGACTGGGTGGTGTCTCAGCGCCTGTGTGTGTACTGTGCATGTGTCAGAATGGTGGGCCCACTGTAGCTGACTTTTTTTGCAGAGAAAATAAAGGCTTATGTTAAGGTCTTCCAGTACGATTTCATGCTTATATAGGACGGCTTATCTACTATGAGCACACAACACTGAAATTTAACCAGCTTTTAGAGTTTTAAAATAGAAAGGACAATGTGTGGCAGTTTTGAAATTTCAACATTAGATTAAATGTACCTCTACAACCCCTACTGGTATTTTTTTTTTTTTAAGTCAAAGGGGAAAAGCTATTTATCTGCTAGAAGAGAAATCTGAACTGAAAGTCAGCCCTCGTATATAAAATTCATTCATTCAAAATGCATGAAGAGAAAACAAATACTGAGAATGTATGTCAATGTATGAAGAACGCATGAAGACCATGGGAAGAATTGAAATGGGGAGACACAGCTTTCAATATGAACACAAAAACTGCTTTCCTGGAAAGGAAACATGAACAGTGTCCTGAGAAGGGAGAGGGCAGTTAATTGGCAATTCCCATCCTGAGAACAGTAGGCTCTCTAACCCAGGGCACGCACAGAGCCAGCACACAAGTCCTTAGCGAAGTCTCTTGCTTCAGGGCTCACCCTGACAGAGAGCTGGGTTCTTTATTTTTTAAAGATTTTATTTATTCATGTGAGACAGAGAGAGAGCGAGAAGCAGAGACACAGGCAGAGGGAGAAGTAGGCTCCATGCAGAAGCCTGAAGTGGGACTCGATCCAGGGTCTCCAGGATCACACCCTGGGCCAAAGGCAGATGCTCAACTGCTGAGCCACCCAGGCGTCCCCGAGAGCTGGGTTCTAAGAGACATCCGTGGTGCTCTAGCAGTTCTGATGTGTAAGCATTTTTTCCACTGGAATTTTGAATAAAATTTCATTTTACAAGAACACAAAGATGGAATGTGTTCCGTGTTTAAAATAAATTATAAAACACAGTATTCATGGTTTTATTAGGTATCAAGTGTAAAGTAAGTGATAGGATCACTTTTCTAAGGTCAATGCAAAATTATCATGAGTCCCATGAATAACCCAATGTATTTTTAAAATCGCAGGTACTGTAAATTTCCATTCCAACTTTGTGGTGAAAATTATTTTTTTCTTCTTCTCCATACCGCATCTTTCATTAAAGCTGAAATCCAGAGAGCAGCTGGATTTTTACTGAGCAATTTGGTGATTACATGCTCATGTGTATACTTGGGTACTAGGTGAGAGGCCCAGTTCAAGGCTTGGTAAATGTTTCCTTCCTCAAGAGCTAAAGAGAAAATACACTTGACTTTTGAACAAGGCGGGAATTAGGGGCCTTATACATGAAAATTCATGTGTAACTTCTGACTCCACCAAAATTTAACTACTGATAGCCTGTTGCCGACCAGAAGCTTATAGGTAACAGCTGATGAACACCTATTTGTATATTATACACTGCACTACTACAGTAAGCTAAAGAAAAAATGTTACGAAAAACATGAACAGAAAATACATTATAGTACTACTAAAAAAATCCACATGTAAGTGGAACCATGCAGTTCAAACCCTTGTTGTTCAAGGGTCAACAGTATTTTAGGTTTTGTAGACAAAAATCAAGGATACTATAAAACAATTTAAAAGCAACGGTTTAGGGATGCCTGGGTGGCTTATTGGTTGGGCGTCTGCTTTTGGCTCAGGGCGTGATCCCAGGTTGGGGATTGAGTCCCACATCAAGCTCCCTGCAAGGAGCCTGCTTCTCCCTCTGCCTGTGTCTCTGCCTCTGTCTCTCATGAATAAATAAATAAAATCTTTTATTAAAAATAATTTAAAAAGCATCCATTTATAGACGTAAAAACCATTCTTAGCTCACAGCCATAGAAAGGCAAGAGAGGGGCTGAATAAGCCCATAGGTTATAGTTTGCACACCCCTGGCCCAGACACAAGTAGAAAGTGGCTAAGAAAAAGAAGTCTGAACAAAATAATCAGCATGCCAAGAAACATTACACCTGCCACCTGCTATCCATTTTCACAGGTAGAGAATCTGATGCATTTCCCCATGCATTTCCCTCCTTCTCTCTGCAAGAATCTAGATTCCCGAGACCAATTCAACTTGGTCTAAGGGATCAGTTCTCTAGGAAGCATCACAAACTCTCATACAGGAGCCTTTTCCAGTTTTTCCCCAAGGTCTCACCTGCGTGTTTTCATCCTCTGCTAGGCCGTGGGCAAGGTGGGCACTGAATGTGCTTTTTCCAACACCACCTTTCCCAGATAACACCAAGATCTTGTGTTTCACGGTCTTCATTTTTTCTTTGATTTCTTCTATGGCTACAAAGAAAGCAAATCAGGTGATGAAGTCTCTGACTAAATTTCAAACGTCCTCTTCCAATGGACTAGAAGGAGCTAAATCCCTGGGACTATTTCACAGGACTGTGTGTGAAATACCACCTAATCAGTGACAGTAGTAAGTACTACAAAGGCTATTGACATCATTGACATTTTCTTGTTTATTAGTTCACTTCTCTGTCTCCTCTTGTTAGGATACAAGTTCCATGAGAATAGAAATTATCTGAACTGTTCATTGCTACACTCCCAGCTCCAGGAGAGCTCCACACGTAGTAATGGTTCCCAACCTAGGGGCGAAATCTGCCTTGGGGACATTTCTGGTTGTCACCAGGAAGGGGTGCTACTGGCATGCAGTGGGTAGAGCCACAGATGCTGCTAACTGGCTAACAACGCGGGGTGCCTGGATGGCACAGCTGGTTAAGCATCTGACTCTTGGTTTCAGCTCTGATCTCAGGGCCATGAGATCGAGCCCTGTCTCAGGCTCTGTGCTCAGAGTGGAGACTGCTGGAGAGTCTCTCCCCCTGCTTGCATTCTATCTCTAAATCTTTAAAAAAAGGTCTAACAATGCTCAGGACAGCCTCCTACCCCAAATAATTATCCAGATCCAAATGTCAGTAGTGCCAAGGTTGAGAGTCCCTGACAAAGAGCAAACACTTATGAGGACCAGTCACAGGTAACTATCACAGATCATACATTTTCTGTGCATTTAACATTTCACTTCAATTCCTTAAAATAACACGATGAGATAATTATACTACCTTCTTCTTATTTAAAAAGCAGGTTCTCAGGGGATGCCCAGGTGGCTCAGTCAGTTAAATGCCTGACTCTTGGTTTCTGCTCAGGTCATGATTTCAGGGTCCTGGGATCGAGTCCCAGGTCCAGGTCCACGCTCAGTGATGAGTCTGCTTGGGATTCTTCGCCTCTCCTCCTCTTCACCTGCTCATGCGTGTGCATGCGCGCTCTCTCTTTCAAGTGAGTAAGTCTTTTTTCTTTTTTAAGTTGGTTCCAAGCCCTACGTGGGGCTTGAACTCATGACCCTGACATCAAGAGTTGCATGCTGGGGATCCCTGGGTGGCTCAGCGGTTTAGTGCCTGCCTTTGGCCTAGGGCGTGATCATGGAGCCCTGGGATCGAATCCCACCTCGGGCTCCCTGCATGGGGCCTGCTTCTCCCTCTGCCTGTGTCTCTGCCCGCCCCCCATCATGAATAAATAAATAAAATCTTAAAAAAAAAAAAAAAAAGAGTTGCATGCTCTGCAGACTGACCCAGCCAGGTGCCTCTCCTCCACTTTAGATAAGGAAACGGAGGCTCAGAGACCTGAGGACTCTCACTCAAGGTCACCCCGTTTGCAGGACCCAGGAATCCAGCCCCAGTCTCCCACTCAACTCCTTCAGCATCCTCCCAGCCTTTTTTTTTTTTTTTTAATTTTTATTTATTTATGGTAGTCACACACAGAGAGAGAAAGAGGCAGAGACACAGGCAGAGGGAGAAGCAGGCTCCATGCACCGGGAGCCCGACGTGGGATTCGATCCCGGGTCTCCAGGATCGCGCCCTGGGCCAAAGGCAGGCGCTAAACCGCTGCGCCACCCAGGGATCCCGCCTCCTGCTTTTTAAGATCCTTTAGGCGAGTTCCCAGAGCCTTCCCCATCCTGCGACTTGTCCTTCACCGAACTTATCACTGCGATGATTTCCTCGCTCGCTCAGTTATTTATGGAGGGTCTCCCCTATTAGCTTAATATCATTAAGGCAGTAACCCTGTCTCACTCACAGCTGTAACCCCAGCGCAGAGCACTATGCTCAGGAGAAATCAATACGTATTTATGCTAAGTGAGTGAGAAAATCGCTCCTTTTCCCAAAGGAAGACAATTTTGTCTACATAATAAGCCCGAGCAAACCCCTAGTTCAAGGTCTATAAACCCTATTCTCCAGCCGCGGGGGCCCCTGTCACTCAAACCCCTAGCCCCGCCCCTCCTGTGATCCCATTGGACTCCACGCCAGTCACTGATCCTTCAGGCTCCGCCCCATCCCGCTATTTCCTTCTGTACTTTCCCACAGCCGGTCTCCTCCCGGTCCCGCCTCTTCCTGGCTGGCGCCCTTCACTTCCGGTTCAGGCCTTGCCCTTTCCTCACCTGGGTCGGGAGCCGCGCCGGCTCCGGAAGCGCAGAGCCGCTGGTTGGGGCAGCCCTGACATGAGGCCCCTCGGCCCGCCTGGGCGCTGCTGGTCCCGGGACAGCCTGCGCGGTGACAAGGTCACAGTTAGAGTGTCTCCTGTCCCTTCAGCCCCACCACCCACGCCCCCCCTCCGTGCGCTCACCCTGAGGCACCTCCTCCATTCGGCCGCCTTCGACGTCTGCGCGGTCACCGGAACCCGCCCTTACGTATTTCCGTCTCCTGGCGCCAATCTGACTCTCCAGGAGCGCCAAATAAGTCACGGAAAGGGGGCTGTGCGCACGCGCGGACTTCGTCAGGTGCCTGGAGGGGGGAGGGGGACTGGTCTTTAATTTCTGTCCGGGTTTGAACTGAGCTGCGGAGAGCATTCATCAATTATTCAGCACGGAGCTCCCGGAACACGGGCGTTATCCTACGCGACACGTCCATGCCCTTTCATATCCAAGAAATTTGATACCGATGCAAAGTTATTAGCTAAAATAAACTTTATATTCAAGGTTACTCAGCTGTCCCAAATAAGATCTGCCCCCCCCACCCCCACCCCCACCCTGGATCCAATCAAAAGTCGCACCTTCCTTTGTTCTCTGTGCCTTTTAATTCAGAACAGTCCTCTTCTCACCACCCCTTACCCTTTTTTGGGACATGGGACACCCATCTTTTAGGACATGGATACATTTGGATATGGTGTAGGCCAATTGCCTTATAGAAAGCCCACCCCAGTATCTTAATTTGTCTGATTCCCTGCCACATGATTAGATTCAGGTTAAGAGATTCTGGCAGGAGGTACTTGACCGATGTGTACAACTGTTGTGCCACGGCCAGAGGCACAGGACACCAGTGGGTCCCATCCTCGACCACTTGGTGAAGGTGGCATCCGTCCCACCTCTGCATTGGATGGTCCGCTTTTCCGTTTGTGGCGAAGAAAGAATCTGAAGCGATTCGTTGAGATCATGGGAGTATCCTGTTCATCAGCCTTGCACTCAGCCTCATTCTGGCCCCAATCCGTTCTAGCAGCGTTTCCAGAATTGTGCCTTCGGATGAGAACACAGAATGTTTGAACTTCCTTCCTCAGGTCACACAGCTCCTAGCGAGGGAGCCAGAGTGATGAACCCAGGCTGTCATCCGTGATACGCGGTGCCAAGTGTCCGTGTGCGAGGTGCTGGCGCCACCAAACCGCCCCGAGTCCTGTCGTCCTGGCACCTAGCCTGGTAGGGGCAGCGGATGACGAAGCAGGTAACTACAGCTTTACAAAGGCTACGACACGAGACAACCAGGGCGATTCCTTAAAGCCGAGGGAGGGACGGGGTGGCGGTGGGGAGGACATATGGTATTTCAGACGGAATGAACCAGCATGAACAAGCCCAGGGGTCAGAGAGGTCAGAGAGGAATTCACATGCAGGGACTTTTGTGACCTCCAGTTTGCAGGTAGGAAGACAGGGTCACCAAGAATGACTTGCCCAAGGTCTCAGAGCTGGTAAGCAGCACAGCTGGGGTGCCAGGAAACTCTGATGTAGGGCCTGGGCTCCTGACCACTATGCCGTACACTGGGAGCAGGATGCACATTATCCTCCTTTCACTGAAGAAAGTGAGGCTCAGAGAGGTTAAGCAGCTTGCTCAGGGTCTCACAGTCAGAAGGCTCCACCCAACTCTCCTGACCATAGGCTCTTTCCTCCCCACCCTCCCAGCCACACAGTAGAGACCCGAGGCCTGCCCGCTTCATGTCCTCCTGAGGTCCCCGCAGACATTTCCGGCATGTTCCCGCCAGCTGTCTTCAGCAGCAGTGCCACATTAGAGCCCCGCAGTCTCTGATTACCCAGGGGACCCTCCCACTCAGCGAGTCTGTCTCCTCAGTAGCAGGGAAGAAAGATCTTCCATTCTTCAGTCTCTCCCTCACTACGCACTCCTCCCCACAAGGCTGTAAACGATCACATTCTACACTAAGAAATAAAATCAAATAAGCCTCCCCTCAGCTTTGCTCCCATCTCTCTCCCACCATCCCCGGCCAAACTCCTGTCTCACCTGGGATAGAATTTTCCACCTGTGGTCGTGCAAGCAGTAGGGCAGGCATGAGGCTTCAGAGCAGATTCCCAGGCCCATCCTGACCTCCTGAGTCAGAAACTCAAGGGCTGGGCCGGGGAATGCGCATCTTTATACTCTCACCAGATAGCAGTTCTGTCCACTAAAGTTTGAGAACCACTTCTGAAGAGGGGTGCGCCTCGAGACTCTGTCCTTGGCCCACTCGTAGGCACACTTTCCACATCGTTCTGGGGTGAGCAGCTTTAGGTCCATGGCATCATCCACTATCCATCATGAAGTTCCAGCCCCGCTCTTCCTAGTTCAGCCGCCACCTGGCGGATTTTACCACGTGGGTGCCTCTCCGGCGGTAGAGGCACACTCCTCTATCCACAACTCCTTCCTTAAACCCTATTCCTCCTTCTGGAATTCTTATCTTAGAGAATGCTACTGCTCTACGAACTCGAGTCCAGAGTCTAAGCATCAGCCTTGCTTCCTTCTCACCATCTCCCCTGTAGCAAGTTAGCAACTCCCCGTAACAAGTCACTCCCATGTATATATGTTCATAGTGGTTAAAACAACAATGTTTTTTTATTTCTCAGGAGTCCTCTGGTTTTATCTGGGCTCACTCATGTGGCACCATCCACGGGGGAATTGAGTAGGAGATTCTCATTTTCACGTGCGCCTTAGTTTCCCTCCATGTGGCCACTGTCTCTCCCGTGGTCTCCAATCATTCAGTGGTCTAGCCTGAGCACCTTTATGTGGCAGCTGGACAAGGTCACTTTCTCACATTGTATTGGTCAAAACAAGTCACGGGGCAGCCAAACAGAGACCACATGTAGATGGACGAAGTGGCAGGCATGTGTAGCAGTGGCGGTAAAGGCTGGTGGCCGTGGCTGTAAACAGTCACGATAACCCCCCCCACACACACCATGTCCAATCAGGCATCAAGTCCTGTGGCTTCACCTCTGTGATGTGATGCTGTAGTTGCCCAAGTGGCCCCAACTCCTCACCCCTCTCTGTATGTGTGTCCTCTCACTGTGGGCAGAGCCTCTGTTCTACCCTAGACGCAAGGCTCAGGCATGTGACTTACTTTGCTAAGGAGACGTCAGCCAGTGTGACCTAACAAAAAACAAGTACTTGCCTGTTTTTGCTTTCTTTGCTTTCCTCTCTGCCATCTCTAGGCTAGCCCGCAGAAGGGAAGACATATGGGGTAGAGCCGAGGCACCTGGTTGGTCCCAGCCAAGCCCATTCCAAACCAGTGACCCTGAGACAACAGGGAGACTCCAGCCAAGTGGTGCAGAGCCACCTCTCCAGGCCCACAGGCAACCACCAGGTGTGTGAGTGAGTCTAGAAGAACCATCCAGCCAACCCACAGACACGTGAGCTAAATAAACACTTATTATCTTAAGCTCCCAAGTCTGGGGTGGCAACAGACAGCTGACACTGCATGACACCATCACCCTGCTGCCTTCCTCTGGACCCTCATTCCCCTGGGCCTGCAGTACTTTCCTAGCAGCCCCGCTAGGCTCTGCTGCCAGGACAAACATCCCGCAGACTGCAGAGGTTCAAGGCAGCAGAGATCGTTTTTGGCTCCGGCTACTTGGACAGCTTCGTTGGCAGAGACCTGCTTGCCGTTCCTCGGGGATCCAGGAGACAGCGGCCCTGCCATCTCCTGTTGCCACTGTCTGAATGCAGGCTTCAAGAGAGAGCGTGTGATTTGTACAATGCTGCTTAAATGCTTCCAGCCAGGATCGACCCCTCATCACATACCTTCCATCAGGAGAATCGGCCACACCCAAAAAGGTTCCCCAGGGGGTTTGTCTGCCACAGGTCTTAGGGTCCTTTCCCCTCACAGTTCAGCCTGGGTCACTCTGCTACCTGCGCACCTTCAACAGCTCCCTATGGCCAGGTTCACACCAATCCAGACATGGTTTTTGGTGCCCGCCTCTGGCCCATTTGACCCCTCCGGCCCCATAGCTCACTGTGTGCCACTGTGCGTGCCAGGCTCTAAAACTGAACAGCGGACAGTTCCCTGGCATGCCAGCCATTATCCTGGCTCACACGGGTCCTTTGTCACGACTGTCCTCCCTGCCGACCCTCCTCTGACAGGTCACCTCTCTGCATCATCCCATGGAAGCAGGTGCTAATGGCCTATGGAATCCACTGCCTTCTTTCCTGAACACGGCGGCGTGTTCCAGAAGTCGGAGCCCAGTTTGCTCTATTTAGCAGCATGGAAAAGTGTGAAGCAAACTGAACCAGACCCAGCATTTGAAGAAGTCTGTTTACCTCTCCTTTACATTTATTTAGTTTGGAGAGTTTGATAGGTTTTAAATTTAAAATTGTTATTTCTGTCCCCCCGATTAAAGGTGGCAGCGACTAAAAGCTACAAAGTGAGAGCTGGAAATGTTGTCGTTGCAAATGTGGAAACCTTACTAAGTGCCAAAAGATTTAATTAGCTACATTTTTAAGTGCTTTTAAAAATAAGTTTGTGAAAGTAGAGACACAGCAGAAAGATCAGTGGTTGCCAGGGCCTGGGGGAGGCGGAGGCGGAGGGATGATGACTGGACAAAGCACAGGGGATTTTCAGGGCAGGGAAGCTATCCTGATGCCGTGGTGCTGAAGACTTGACGTTAGGCGTGCGTCAAGGCTCACAGAGCCTACACCACCAAGAGTGAACTCTGACTTGCACCAGGGACTTTAGTTACTGAAAACGAATCGTTATCATGGTTCATCCGCTGTAACAGATGACCACACCAACGCCAGAGGTTAATAATGGGGGTAATCGGGGTGGCGGAGGTAAAGAGGGAATATTCAGGAACTCTTTGAACTTCCTGATACATTTTTCCGTATGGCTAAAACGGCTTTAAAAACGTAGTTTTTCTTTTATTTTTATTTATTTATTTAGTTAAGAATTTATTCACAAGAGACCCAGAGAGAGAGAGAGAGAGAGAGAGAGAGAGAGAGAGAGGCAGAGACACAGGCAGAGGGAGAAGCAGGCTCCATGCAGGAAGCCCGTCGTGGGACTCTATCCGGGGTCTCCAGGATCACACCCTGGGCCGCAGGCGGCGCTAAACGCCACCGGGGCTGCCCCCCCGCTTTTTTTTTTAATTTAAAGTTTGTTTATGCTTCTCAAGTTATAGACCTTAAATGTGGAGTTAGGGTGCTAGGTCACC